AGGCTATAGGATAACATTATTAGAATTGATTTAATATATCTCAAACTATCCATATTCGAGAAATAATAAAATTTATTTTTAATTCTAAATTAATGTACCTACAAATGAAAATAAATTGCATGATCTACTTTCCAAAGCTGTTTAAATTGCAGGTAGATATCTATGAGGAACTAATGGAAGCATTAGCTGTCAAATTTACTGCATGTGGATTTTTTCCTGTTAGCCTGGGTCAGGTTTTTAATGTGAGTATATATTTAAAATGTAAAGCTCCAAAGCATCAGAGAGTTTAAATTTATTTTGATGAAAAACAAATTGATTGGTATATACGTTTTTAGGCGTACCTACCACCACGTGAGCACAAAACATACAGCTGTCCGTGTGAAAAGCATGCATTTTCTAAATTTAAACTGGCCAGGGATTGCCCTTGTGCCTTATAATGGTGACTGCAAAAGCATGACGCAAAGGAAATTGTAGTCAGTAGTTGCTTGAATTCAAAGGGTAATTTGGATGAAATAATTGGTATTCTCGGAACTTACCACTGATTGTTGCTTTGATCAAGTTTGGTTCATTTTTTTAATTGTTAGTGTCTGGTTCTGTTGCACAGCTTGAGTGAATTTAAGTTTTGCATTAGTATTATTGGAGTTCCTTCTTTTAATGACAGTAATGTCATATTTTAATCATATTTTAATTAAGGACATTAGTTAAGACTTGACTCTATTCAATGTATTCATGTAAATACAAAAAATGAATAAAGATTATTAAAAAAAGAAATGTGGTGGGCTAGACAAATTGGGAGGTATTTGAATACCTGAGATAGCACGCACCATTATTATTCACTTAATAATTTATGTTAGATTGTGTAGGTATAGAACTAAAAATAAAAATATTAAGGCACTTTGCTTCTTATGTTTACATATTTAATAGTGGAGAATTTAAAGGTTGTTGAGTGCACAGGTGTGCTGCAATTGGGGTTTAATATATTGGTCTTATCCAAAAGTAAAATGGTTTTCTGTGCTGCATTTTGTGGAAACAGTGTGGCACATTTCAAATCATGACTAAAGTCGGGACCGCGAAAGTTTGCAGTTGAGGGAGGAGCCTATATACCACATGACTTCGAAGGAGCCAATGAGGACAGTGTGGTGTTGCTTAATCTAATAATACCAGCTTATTTCAAAATATTGTTTAGTATTTTAATTAGTGTCGTCAACGGGCGATATGGCAACGTATCACTAGCCTTGTCTTGTGATTGGCTGCCGCCAACTGCAAACTTTCGTGGTCCCGACTGTAATACAGAATGTTGTGATTATTCAATCCTACAAAATAGTTGGTGAAGGTAACATCTGTTTTTAAATTTTATTTATTTGTAAACATTGTAGTTCCAAAAGTCTGACATTGTACCCCTTAAAAAACTCTGGGGCAGAGCCCTTTTGACGCATCTGCACCTAACTTCACACAAACCATCCTTGAATAATGCTTAATAATGCCTGAAATTTTCATTACAATATCTGTCGAGTAGTTTCGGAGTCTATAGGGTATATACATACATACATATATACTTCCTCTTTTATAGATATAGATTTTAAAAATATACAGTAATCAGAATTGATTATTCTTTGAGATATTTATCACTTATATAAGATTACATGGGGAACCACAGAGCCACTGCAGTGAAGTCCGAAAGGATTTTTGAGATAAGAAAAGGCCTATAAGTTAATCGTGAATGTGAGCTATCATCAAGCCAAATTACAGCCCAATCCGTCCAATGCGTGATTGAACTTCAAAGGAACAAACATACAAACAAAAACACAAACTCTCACATTTATAATATTAGTATGATTTTAAAAACATAATCTGAACTGATTATTCTTTTAGATACTTATTAATTAGCTTATTTATTATACTTCATTCACAAAATTTAGGCGGTTTGAGAGATAGTTCCCCCACAATAAAAAAAAAAAAACTTAGTATGTTGCTTAATCAGCAGTTGAGCTATTATTTTAAGGGTAAGGGTCAAGTTGAAGTGATAGATTTCTTCCCCTAAAACCACCTTAATATTGTGAACGAAGTATACACCATGGCACTTCTAGAAAAACTTTCTCAACTAAATACATTTTTACATGAGGTTATGATATTTCTGTTTACTTTTTCTATGTGTGTTGTTAGGTATTAGGACTGACGATAACGTACGGCTTACTGGCAGCTCTTCAATCTTAATTTAATTCTTAGATATTTGAACATTACAGTTAATTTTAACATAGACAAGTGTCACAAAACATGTGGACATCTTTGCCTCTTACGTGTAAAAACAAGTATAAAATGTACAGTGTAGAATGTTTGTAGAGATAAGCATACCTTTTGGTTTTATTGTTCTCTATGTGGTTTTGTATTCCCTTGCTTCATCAGACAATAACCATAAAGGGGTATTAACATCAAAATGCTAACTTTGAATTAATTATCAAAGTCTGGTTAAATTTAATTATTAATTTCAAAAGACACAAATATTTTTACAGCTAACATTTCTTTTATAAAACAAGGATGGTTCTCTTCAAATTTTACTTTAAATCTTGAAATGGTCCCCATCTAAAAATAATAACTAAATATGATTTTCCATTATATTACAGGTACTAAAAAAAACTTTAAATAGGTACCAAAACAATTTGTGACCCCTCTTCTTCTACAGGATGTAATCTTCAAACCTTGTACTGCTTCTTAGAAAGATATTCTCAGTTGTACATGGTGGATCTGGAAAGTTTAAAACATAATTTTTTTTCATTTTGCTATGTTCTACGCACAATTATTTGCAAAAATGGGAGTGATACACGCAGACACTGCTGTTCGTAAAATTTAGGCGGTTTGAGGGAGAGTTCCCTTTCACTCAATATACCTATGGCACAACTGAATTTTGGCAAACCTCAGCTATATTGAGCTATTAAAGGTATTATTATATAGGTTCAAGTGGGAGGGGGTAGATTTATTCTCATAAACCGCATAAATATTGTGAACGGAGTACAGTGAACATGTAATTTTAATCATTTATTGTAATCTGTGTCTGATTATACACTTAAAAATATACTTATAGGTTTAAGGTATATATTTATTATGTTACCAGAATAGTATATTTTCCCATGTAGAGTAGACTTCATTTTTCTCTATGGAATTACCTTATAGAGACAATCAACAAATAGTAAAACCATATATAAATCAAATCCCAAAGTACCCATGAACTTTTGTAAAAACTAAAAGTCACACCTCCATTAACCATATACTTAAAATGTTCGTAATCATGAGAAACCTTGCGCAAAACTATCCATTATTTCATAAATTGCTCTTTAAGGTTGTAATTAATTTCTAAGGCCGGACGCACACAGATCAAGCATTTCACCTGAAGCAAGTGTTGCGAGGCAAAATGTTTCGCTGGGTACGAGCGCACCATGTATTTCAATGGGGTGCCGCACACTGATCAAGCAAACGTTGCGAGGCGCCTCGCAACGCCTTGAAACATTTGAGCAGTTGCTCGACGAATGGATCCGATACAGCACAATGTTTGATGTTTCAAGGAGCAAAACGTTCTGCGCATGTGCCAAATCCCTTCTAGTAAAGAATTAGTGCCTTTCAAAATTCAATCGACTATTTGTTGTTTCAAAAATAACTCTTCTTTCAAAAATGATTTTTAAAGTTTCAATACAACTTAAAAATTATATTTTTTTTAATTTCAATTTAACCAAATTGTTGTTTAATTTTTCTTGCTACCACTTTGATAGTCATACAGGTAGTAGATAATAAAGAAACAACCCAGGTTATTTAGTTCATTATTTAAAACCATCACGACATTATCAAATAATAATTTCTAACAATATCACTTAAGTTATTATAAACCCTTACAATAAAATACTGTAGCAATTATTCAACAATAATAATTGTAAAATTTTCCTATATTGGATTTAATTTCTGAGAGAATTAATGTCTATCATCTGATTGGTTGAGTGAACCCCATGTTTTCTTTCTTAGTCTAGCATTTGCAAAAACTGACATACAGCAATAGCTACGTTGACTTCCTCGTCAATGTTAAAACAATACTGTAGAGTACCAGTACAAGCAATATTTATTTTTGCTTGAAACCAAATGCTGCATCATGCTTGAACCTCTCGCACACTGGAGAAGCAAAGAAACAAAACGCTTTAAGCAAATCGCTGTGCAACAGTTTGCTTCAGGTGAAATGCTGGATCAGTGTGTGCCCAGCCTAAAGGGAACTTTCCACCATTTACCTAATTTTAAAAATACCTCAGCTGTACTTATTTGTTTATTATTATTTCAATTTGTTGTTTTTGTCTCTGTTGTGTATGAATGTTTTTTTTCTAACTGTCTTAGTAGACTGAGAAGTTATTTATTGTAAGAGTATTTATGTAATAATAGATTAGGATTGTAATTAAAAGATGAGACATTGTAATTATTTAATCAGTTACTGCTAAGCATTTCATGTAACGTTTATCTTTGTGTCAATTGTGATTTGATTGTTTTGGTTTAGCTATACCTATTGAAACATTTTTATTCTAATACAAATAATCACTGAAAACATACTACTATAACCCAGAATGCTAACCGCATGGTAAAAAGCGTTAAGTACTCGGAGAGAGCTTTGCCTGTCAATTCGTAGGCAGCGCCACCAGCATAGCAACGCTGGTGGCGCTGTTTTCTGTGAAATAATGTGGTAAAGAGAGATTGGATTGTTGCTATTTAACTATTCAATGTTAATTTCAATCTTTGAATTAATTCGCCATTTTTGGTAGATTTTGACATACACAACAAATTTTACGTATAATAACATTTTCTAGAGAAGTACTAGATGTCAAAACAATTTATTATGGTTCTAAATCTTCCTTTGACTTCCACATGAACTATAGTTTTCTTTTTTCAAACGTCAATTAGAACCGTCTTAAGCTTGATTGTTTCTAATTTGTAATGTTTGTTTAACTTTTTTTTAGATAAATTTATGGTACTTGTTAATGCTTACCATTGTAGAAAAAGGTATCAGGAATTCCGACATCTCTTCTGATGGATTCCAAAGCTCGACGGATGGCGAACAAAACTGAGTGAGACATAACAAGAGGAGCCTCTCCAACAGCTGTTTAATAATGGCACAATATATAAAATCTATATATTAGAATTCATCAAAATTTTTCTATTAGAGGATAATAGTTATATTATACAGTGTTTAGATAGCCGTACATCTAGTAGTTATATTACTAACCTAACAAGAAGGTCTCTGATTCAATTATCAATTTTATATCCCAGTATTTAAGATGGGGACGCCACTATGTGCATATTTTAACCCAAATATGAGTGAACGATGAGTTTAGGATGAGTGGCGCGATCTTGTAGTCTTGTTGTTAGTATGACTAAGGCCGACATGTTCTTACATATGATGCTTACAGTTGAAAGAAATCGCACATTTTAAAAGTGAAATGGTTATTAAGGTGACCAATCTCTAGAAAAATGTTTGAATCACTGAGTGAAACTTTATTAACACAGTTGAAATTCCGGATTAGTAAAATGTTTACCTTCAAATCTCAAAAATACTTTTTAAAATTTCTGGATTTCTTCTTAACTCGCTTAATAATATATTTAATAACAACCTTTCAAAACTCACTTTTACTGGAACAATTTCTTCAAATATTCTTTTTTCTCCTTCAATGTTTCCTATATGAGATTATTGTATAGTTCGGCCGGTTAGAAAGCGACCTCCTCTAACATTGGTTTAGCATTGGTCACTTTCTAAGCGGCCAAACTATAGCATTATGAAAATTTAATTTATTTGATTATTAGAAAATGTTAAATATAAATAATTTTAGTCACATTAATTCTTTCTGTAGATCTAATATGTCAAAAGGAGGCTGTGCAATTTTTACTAAGTATATAGATAGTGTTAAAACTTTAGAAAATGTAAATAAGTTATCATCTGAACATGTTTGTAAAATATCCACTGCATATTTTTTATCACAAAAGTTGGTTTGTATTTGTATTTACAGACCAAACAAAAAATATCTTAAGGAATTTTTAAATATTTTGTTTGAGTGTTTAATGTTAGTAAATAAGCTTAATGTTGATATTATTCTATGTGGTGATTTTAATGTGGATTTCCTTGATATTGACTGTAATCAACGAAAAGAAGTAACTAATACATTTAATGCTTTTAATCTTCATTTGGTTACATTAGAAATCACTAGGCCTAATATGAGAAAAGGTAAAATTGTCAAACTTGGAACTTGTATTGATAACATTGCAACCAACATTCACAGAGATAACAGGACTGGTTGTGTTGTTCCCACCCTTGTATCAGATCACTATGCAATTATGTTATCTACTAGATTACATTCCAGGTGTATGAATGGGCAAAATAGTTTTAAGATCTCACGGCCCATTAATAAAATGAGTGGTGTTTTATTATGTTCAAATTTAAGTTAAGTAAATTGGCTTAGTGTTTATTCATTAGAAACATTAAATGAGAAATTTGACCTGTTTTTGAATATTTTTTTAAGTGTTTTAGATTTTACAATGCCAATCAAATTGGTAGCAGATAAGAGTAGTGAGGATAAATATGACAACCGTTGGTATACAAATGAATTGCAGTGTTTGAAACAAAAATGTATTGAGTTTTTGGATGAATTTAAAATGACAGGTAATAAAACATGCAAAGAGGAATATAAGATAACTAAAAGAACATACAGAAAACTTATTAAAGAAGCAAAAGTAAATTATAACTCAAACAAAATATCTACAGCAAAGAATAAGTCGAAAGAAATGTGGAGTATGATAAATAAAAAAGTTAGTGTCAATAGAAAAAGCAAAAGTAAAAATTCTCTCGACCCTCAATCTTTAAATAACCATTTCTTAGACTCTGTAAACAATTTGATTAATAATTTATCTACATCGAACAAATCTTCTGAGGTCTATATTAATGTGTTGAGGGGTATGGACACAATGACAGATATTAGTTTTAAATTAAAACCATTTTCTGTTGAACAGGTATTTGAGAAAATTAATAGGCTAAGTAGTAGTAGATGTCTAGATGTTTATGGATAAAACTCAGATATTATGAAAATGGCTGCAGTGTATATAGTTGAAGTACTACTTATTTATTTAATCTTTGTATTGTTGAGGGTATATATCCTGATTGTTTAAAATGTGTTAAAGTAATTCCTGTACATAAAACCGGTGATAGATTAGATTTAAATAACTATAGACCCATCAGTATTATTCCTGTTATTAGTAAAGTTTTTGAAAGTTTGATAAATGACCAAGTTGTATCGTATTTTGAAGGAAATTATCTATTTAATTTTAGTCAATTTGGTTTTAGAGCAAATAGAGGAACTAAAGATGCAGTTGAGAATCTAATTTCTTATTGTTTAGATGAGTTAGAAATGCAAAATAATGTTTCGTTGAAATTTTATGATATGAAAAAAGCTTTTGACACTGTGTCCCATGATCTACTACTACAAAAACTTGCCTTTTATAAGTTTGAAGAAAATACTTTAAAATGTTTTGAATCATATCTGTATAAAAGATATCAAAGTGTTTATTGCAATGGTGTTTTTTCTGATTATAAAGAGGTGTTACATGGTGTCCCACAGGGCTCAATTTTGGGCCCAGTATGCTTCATCATAATTTACATTAATGATTTGCCTAAAAATATTCTAAACCTCAATGTTAAGCCTTATCTTTTTGCAGATGATTTAGCAATACAAATTCAAAGTGAGAATTTGCTAAATTCAACAGTAATGACATACAAAGCAGATAGCTTAATCGAAGACTGGTGTAAGGCGAATAAATTGTTTTTAAATGTTGAAAAAACTCAAGATTTATGTATTAGTTTTAATAATAGGCATAATAAAAAATGTGTAAAATTTTTAGGTGTTTTTATAGAATCTAACTTAAAGTGGAAAGTTCATATTGATTATACAGCTAAAAAACTTAACAAAGGAATATTTATAATAAACATGCTTAAGAACAGTGTAGATTTTAATACCTTGAAATGCATTTACTATGCACATATACATTCCCATCTAAGTTATGGAACAATTGTATGGGGAGGTAGTAATTATAAAAAAAAACTTTCGTCATTGCAAAAACGAGCAATAAAAATCATGTACAATGTTGATTTTAGAACACACTGTAAACCATTATTTAGGGAGGCTAATATTTTAACTTTACAAGCAATGTATATTTTAGACTGCCTTGTGTTTGCAAAAAATAGTTTTAGTAAAACAGACACACATGAAAATGTACACAGTTACAACACACGAAACCGCTGCAATTTTATATCTAGACAGTGTCGATACAGCACCACAGCTACTAGTTTTATTGAAAAATCCAAACAGTATTATAATATGTTACCTAATAGAATAAGATGTTTTAATTGTTTTAAATTTAAAATAGTACTTAAAAACTACCTGTTAAACCTGTGTCCATATAGAGAAATAGACTTTATAAACGATGTTAAATTAAACCTTAGTTAAAACCTTTAGTTCTAAGACATTTCCTTGACTGTGCCATGCATGTAAACCAGTGTAACGGCAATAAAGCATTCTTATTCTTATTCTTATTCTTATTCTTATTTTCTCATTTTTAATTAGGCCCAAGTTTTTGGAAAATATTTCTTCTAAATTATTATCAGGGCCATCCCTAGGGTTGGCGGTGCCCGGAGCAAACGTGATTGTGGCGCCCCCTCCCCCCCCCAGTAATAATAGTCACATTTGCATATTTTAATACTATGTTAATACAAATAGCCGCTGCACGGCGCCCCCTTAGCCACAGCGCCCGGGGCACATTGCCCTGGTTGCCCCCCCCTTTGGTCGGCACTGATTATTATTTATCATCCGTTAAGTGATATTGGTATTCTGATAGGCATTATCAACTACAGATACTGTTTTTAATGTATGTTTTAAATATGAAATAAGATTATAAATTCTTTGACTTACACTTAGATCCATATACACCAGTTGGAGGAGTATTAGGGTCTTTTCTGAAATAAAGTCGCCAATCTTCTGGAATGTCCTTGGCCCCGGGTATTTTGTATTCCTGAACAATAAAAACTGTAAAAGCGCTTTAGAAAGAGTAGTAACCAAAATATCGTGGACTACACTGGAAATATTCAAAAGCGATATATAGGTAGATAAACAGTACAAAGCTAGTAATTTTAGAGGCTAATGTACTTCAAGATCCCTACAATAACGCAGCACTGATTTTTACCCAGGTTCTATCTGTAGCAAGTAGTCCAGTATTTGGGTCAAAAATGAGTTTTTCACTTGTGAAGTGTCCAATTCCCATCAAGAACGCTCCTTCAATCTGGCCTATATCCACCAGTGGACTCACGCTCTTGCCTAGGTTTTGTAGTATGTCTACCCGAAGGATCTGGAAGTTCAAATTGAAGTGTTACAATTTAGATAAGATTTTATACTACTGTATAAACAAATATTGTACGGTACAGTTTCAAATCATTCAATGTTTATCATTATAGTAGATCATGACAACAATTAAAGGGGTGAGCTGGATGCGCATGGGCTTAAGAAACCTCTTCCTCCCCCACTGGTTGCTTTGGTTATTTTGTACAGTCATCCCAACAATCAAATTGTCATTGGATTAATTTAATGGTCTCCATTTAAGATAAAAGTAATAAGTAACACCTAGCATCTAGTGGTGAGACCATCAGTCCTGTTGGGAGCCACTCTCTACACAAACGTCCATTATTGACATGATTTAAAACTTATGCTAATTTAAAACCCCCTGCTGTAGCAAAACTGCAGACTAAGCAAATTTCCATTTAGCTGGCTAGGTTTCCACTAAAATATTCCCTTAAAATAGTCAGATTTATTTCCTATTTAAACAAAATAATTTTAATGAGTACTTTAGGTTTTCGGCTACAGGGAAGGTAATGAGTTTTTTTGTTATTGAAATGTTGATATCTTAGTAGTAAAGAAAATTGCTAAATTTTATTAAAATACATAAACAAGCTAACTGCAACAGTTTATTTAAGCTCCAAAAGACTAACTTGGGAATTTTTTTTAATTTTCTCCGTAACCATTAGGCGTACAATGTAATGCTTCATTTTTCTAAATTATTATTTTTTTTTTTTTGCTCTACAAACTGGTTACAATATGGTAGAAAGAAATGTTAATTTTATTTTTATTTTTAAACCCAAAAACCCCCACAGGGGATTCACATAGTCCGATTATACTGGTTTGTGAACTAGTTTGGATAATCGTTCAGTTATCTTGCTAACGGACATATAATATATGAATCTGAACGGAGGGTGTGTTTGGCCTCTGGGGACCTCAAAACGATTAAAGTAAATCGGTCCTGGGTCCATGTCTTAACATAAAATCTATGGTAATAGCTTATTCCCTATATAAGAAATTCACTAACAAAGGTCAAGTTTCTATAAAAGTCTACATTTTTTATAATATTATGGGAATCATCTTTTTCTTTTTAAATCTAAAGATTAAATTAATAATTTGAATAAACAATTTTTTAAAATATTTACTGTATATGGTTTTATTTCTGAAAACCACATAACTACTGGTGTCATTACTTAACTATTGCTTACACCCTTGATAAAACCAATAATTACAGTACCACTAAGGCTTTTTAAATTCTGTACTTTACAATGTGTTCATTGGGAATACTGTAATTTTAGTTTAACCTACCCTATGCTCTCCTGTTAAACAATCTATTTCCACTTCTGTTATGGTGGTCCCGTAGTTTAGGTAGTCTTTCAGGTCTCGGTCCGGTACAAACCTGAAATCAATATAAAATATGTTGACAAAATGTTACTTTAATAATAGTACGGTACTGAAAAGTCACTTGACAAAAAAGTGTAAATTGTTGATCAATTTAATCCTACACGGATCTATTATCCAAATTTCCGTTACTGCTTAACATAGTGTGTTAAAGTTAGATGGTACCTAGTATTATTGGTGCTTAATTTTTAGAAATTGAAGTATCAGAAAAATTATCAATCGAAAATTAATTCAAATCCTCCACCCTACAGGTAAAAGTGCTCTAAAAAAAAGTATAACAAATAATGTGTAAAATGTTTTACTTGGAAATCATTACTCCACAAGAATGTCAAAATGATATCCTTGAATATTCTGGAAAATTTTCAAGAAAATATTGCTAGAATGCAGAAGTTATAGTTTTTAATTAAACTATGCATTTAATTTCATTTTTAAAGGGACCTGGTGTAGCTTCCCTATGATTGTAAGTACCATGTAACAACTTTACGTCCATGTTGAGTGGTTGACATGGGCTAGTAAATGGACTGTTAACAAATATTTACCCTATTCATATCACAAAAGTGACCTCATAAGCCTGTAAAGGAAAGCATGGAGAAATACATTCAATCAAATAAACGTCTATTACCCACAGTGGCGGATATAGAATATTTTTTTGGAGGGGGCCGATATTAATTTAAGGTTAGGTTAAGTAATTTCAAATAGACACGCCATGATATTTATCTCAGTTTTGCTGCGCTACTTTGCACTAAATATGACCTTTTACTTTACCAAGATCATGCTGTCTCATTAACACTAATACCGAAACCCCACCTAGGCTGACGTTAACCGAAACCCCCGGTCTGTGAGACCCCATTTGAAAAATAATGGACCCTGTTTAGAAACACACAAACCGAAACCCTCGGTCTGTGAGACCCCGCTTTAAAATACACTAACGCTTGGCTTCTGAGACGGACATGTTATGAACAGACGACCTGTCAAGGTCACGGCACCCGCATGCAAAATGAACAAACGATATATCAATAGGTAGGGAAGGAAAAGGGGGGAAGGTATTGGGGGAATGGAATCTACCAAGTAAACAGCGTTGCCAACATGCGTTTTTGAAAATTCCCGTGGGCCTGTCAGACCGGGGTTTCGGTATTAGTGTTAAATTGGTCCGTTAAATTTGAATAATGTATCTATTCAAGCCAAATGAAGAAAATATCTCAATTACTAAATCAAAGAACATTGATCAAGATTTAACAGTGTGTCATTCCATCTGTAAACACTTATCCAAACCTAAGGAGTCAAATACGCCATTGTGATAATCAATTTGGAGGAGTTCTAACTACTGTATAAGTATTCTTTTGTGCAAACTGCAAAACGTTAACATTTCAGTACAACGTCGAAAAGATTTAAATAACAAACAATAAAAATGGCTACCACTGAACTGACTGAACTCTTCATTACTCTGGGTGGCGGGCGGGAGCTCGATTTGGTCTGAATCAAACCAAACTAGCACAAACTATCACTGTCTGCTACAGCGATGCATTCACACATGATTCATGATAAATAATTTATGTTATGTTACCTATTTTTCTTCATATCCATTATTTTAGAGGGGGCCCAGGCCCCCTCCCCCTCCTGATTATATACGTCTCTGAACCCAACTTAAGAGCCGGCTGGAGCCAGCGAAAATTTCGCCTTTTGGCAGCGCCTGCAATACGTGAGATGCGGTAGCGCCACTATCGGTGGCCACTAGGGGAGTTACGTGCTCTAGCTCTACTGACAGAACTAAACCTAGGCTTCGAGAACAACACACAGTGTAAACAAAACACTGAATAACCGCAAGGAACCGAGCAAGATAGTAACGTAGCCCTTCCTCGACTCCATATCCATCATAAATCATAACAGCTGAATGTTTGTCGGGTTTGGTCGGGTCTGACCTGACCTTCACTATAGCTTGCTATGCCACTTTGAAACAATTGTAGTACAAGTCATTGATATAACTTTGATACAAGATTGAATTATTTTAAAACCATTTTTAACAATGTTTAGATATAAGTTTTATTACAGTTATCGTTATTTAAAAATCAGTTTGAAGCTTTTTTCCTAAGAATGTTTGTTTGAGCGATTAAAATTTTATCAAAGATCCTAATAATTATATCAACCATTTTTTAAATCTAAGATTTGACTAACATACGTTTCAAAACAGTTTTAACAAAATAATCTTTCTAAACAACATATGAACAGTTTTAACATTTGGTTAGTAGCTAGTCTTTCAATTGCTTTAAAGAATTTTAAAAATAATTTCCAAAAATGTAAATACGACTAAACCGATATGTACTAACGTAAGTTACAACAAGTTTGACTAATCTTTAAACTAATTTTTAAATAAAATTGATATTAAACGACTTGTATGTCTAAGATTGTATAAAAGAACAGTTCATGTAATAAAAACGGTATGTACGTTGAACGATTTCAACGCGTGTTGTTTAGTAAATTTTATTAAAGTGGGTAAGTATTTTTGTATCCATGAGTGAAATGTTATTTTAATCAAATTCATTACAACTTACAAATAGGCCCTAATGTGAGGCATATTCGTATAATTGTCTTAAATGCAAGTAGGTGGTCTTCCCTTTTTAATGTAAAAACACTGTTGATTTTTCTCAACTCCATAAATTTCTTAGGGACTATATTTTACGTTGTATATTTCTTGTTTTCCCTGTGAATGTGTATTTATTTTCATAACATTATCACTATCAAACGTTATAAACAACAAGTATTGGTAGTTTTTATTTTAGTAAACCACATTATCATTCGTCACTAACGGATGATAGGACAGAGCCCCCGCAGGTAGTCCCATTGTGTTCGTGCGAGTGAGTGGGTAAAGGGTCGCCTATTTTCTAACTTTCACATTTTTGCCAGTGTACAGGCATGTCCAGGAATCGAACGCTTCCTCTACTCGCATTGTACTAAAGCGTGCGCGGTCCAAGTATGACAAAATATCTGTAGAACCCCATACTGGCAATAATGTCAGTAAATTCGTCTTGTACAGTAAAAAAATATCAACATATTCAAATCCTTCGATTAACCATCTCGCAAGGCATACTGCTGAAACTATAACAATGTTGTCTGTTTACACAATTGGTTTTTATTTTTAAAGTATACTAAAAGTGCCACATCAGCCTAAAAAATGCATTGCGAATCACCCTAAAATAATTTAACTTGCTCTATTGCCTGCAATTTCCAAACAAGAATGATGTACGGAACTGCCCGAAGGCTCTCTGTTTTAGGTGCAATACATCAAAAATTGATGTGTTATATTTAAAATTGGCCAGCTACCTGCACAGTTATCTATCTTTGATTTGAAACTATACCATCAATAATAATAAAAGCACCAATAGAACTTAATTCTAAAATATTATATAATAATGTGCATTTAGGAATATATAATAAAACATCGTTAGGTTATATTAATCCATTTATAATTAGGAAAGTGATTTTAGTTTCAAATTCAATTTTATCATTCGGAAACATTACAATAATGAATAAAACATATATGAGCCAGTTGAGTAAAAACAAGTTTGATATTTTACAGTTATTTAAAACATAATTTTTAAAAGTTTAAAACCCACACTTAATGTAATGTTTATATGTACATTTTATTAAATATATATATATCAGTAACACAACTACAGGAGGGCAGTTCAGTTCTAATAAATGTATATCTTTAATTAATTAATTATAATCGTACCGTACCGGTATGTTTGAAATAAAATAAAAACATTTTGAAACATTGCATAATGAATGAAAAATATATGGGTCAGTAGAGTAAAAACCTGTCTCATATTCTATAGTTATTTACAACATAATTTTAAAAATGAATATGTACAATTAATTGAATATACAGTATAAGTAAAAATAAAACGGTAAGGCAAATCTATTAAATAAATAATATATCTGTAACTGAATATTCACAAAGCACAAGTAAAACTGTATTAATCAGTTAACTTAATTCACACAAAAGAAAATGAATATAGCAATTATGTCAATATGATTTTAAAGTATTGCAACCAACATATAGTTTTATATAATTTTACAACATGAATAAACACTTATGTACAATATATTATTTTGAACATATAAGTAAACCAATAAGCCTAAAAGTTTAAAAATCGCTTTAAAACAAAATTACAAAAAATATTTGAAATTATATTAGGATACAATGCTTTCTTGACGTGCTTTGTACAACTATTTACAAACTTATTTCTTTTGTTCTTTTGTCTGTTCTCTTCTTGGCTTTTTCTTGAGCCTCCAAAATGTATCCAGGATTTCTAATCGGCATAGTCCTACTGTTTCGAGGGTCTATTAGTTCTGGGAGGACGCAGTTCATGTAGAATTTTGTTAGCTTAGGAAACATTTCCTGTTCCCAAAATTCTTTATTTCTATTTACAACAACGCTTTTTATTCCTTTTTGAGTCCATAGACAAAAAATGCAAAATTCCCTTTTCGTAACATGTAGCTGGCCTTGAATTTGGTAATAAAAGGCGTGTTTTTTACTTTCTCCCCCTATACCATAGTATATGGAGAAAGTATTGTTTTCGTCAAAATTTTCGAGTTTGAGTTTTGAGTGGATATATTCGTTTTGGGTCCCCCTGGACCCAAAAAAGTGGTTTTCGAAGTGATGTCTGTGTGTGTGTGTGTGTGTGTGTCTGTGTGTCTGTGTGTCTGTGTGTCTGTGTGTCTGGATGTGTACAGAGCTAGAGACTACACCTGTGGTCCGATTTCGATGAAATTTGGTATGTAGGTTCTAATCCATGGTATCTCCAGGCGTTTTTTTCATTTTTTTGAAATTTTGTTTTTTAATGGGGATTTTCCCATAAAAACCCATAAAAAACCGGAAAAATCGGATTTTCTCAAAAATGGCCTGAACGATTTTGATAAAAATTTAGTATGTTGTAGCCCTTTAAATTCTGAACAAAATGGTACAAATCCCATTTCTGTAAAAATTACGGTTCAAAA